GTTTCATTTAAGGTTGAGTTTTCCTTGTTCTGTTTCTGTCTGTGTGATCTATCTATCCATTTACTGTGGGTTGTTACCATCTCCTTCTCTCACTGTAATGTTGTCAGTTTCTCCCTTTAAGTCAGTTATATGCTTTATATATATTGGTGCTCTGTTGTTAGGTGCATATATATTAATAAATATGTTTTCTAAATGAATTGTACCCTTTATTGTTAGTATATAATGCCCGTCTCTGTCTTTTGTTAACTTTTTTGGCCTGACGTCTGTTTTGTCTGATATGAGTATGGTTACGCCTGCTTTCTTTTGGCTGCCAGTTGCTTAGAGTATCATTTTGCAGCCCTTTACTTAGAACTGAGATGAGTCTCCTAGAGTCAACATATAGTTGGGTCTTATGTTTTACTCCATCCAGGCACTCTGTGTCTTCTGCTTGGTGAATTCAATCTATTTACATTCAGAGAGTGTGTATGTGTGTGTGTGTGTGTGTGTGTGTGTGTGTGTTTGCCATGCTGTGTGGCATGCAGGATCTTAGTTTCCCAACCCGGGATCGAACCCATGCCCCCTGCAATGGAAGAACAATCTTTAACCACGGGACCACCAGGGAGGTCCCCATTTAGTGTGATTATTGATGTATGAGGACTTGGTATTGCCATTTATCTTTTGTTTTCTGGTTGTTCTGTAGTTCCATTGTTTCTTTTTCTTTGCATTTCTGTGCAAGGAAATGGTAGTCTTCTGTGATGTTTTTCTCAGTTTTCTCCCTTTTTTTTATGTTTTGTGTCTCTGCTCTAGATTTTTGTTTTGTGGTTGTCGTGAGGTGTGCATAAACATCTCAAAGATAGTCCTTTTTCTGTGGGTGGTATCTTTTTAAAAATTTTCATCTATTTATTTTTGGCTGTACTGGGATCTTCGTTACTGCACAGGCTTTTCTCGTTGTGGTGAGTAGGGGCTACTCTCTAGTTGTGGTGTGCGGGCTTCTCATTGTGATGGCTTCTCTTGTTATGGAGCACAGGCTCTAGGGCTGCACAGGCTTCAGTAGTTGCCGCACATGAGCTCAGTATGTAGCTTCTGGACTCTAGAGCACAGTCTCAGCAGTTGTGGCACACAGGCTTAGCTGCTCCTCGGCATGTGGGATCTTCCCAGCCCAGGAATCAAACACGTGTCTCCTGCACTGGCAGGCAGATTCTTTACCACTGAGCCACCAGGGAAGTCCTGTTGGTAGTAGCCTATCCTCATATTCCTATAGAGGTTGCCTCTTTTCTCCTTTTTCCCTTTTATATTTTTGTTGTCACAAATATGTCTCAGCACAGAATACTGTGAATTCATTCACAAATTGATGTAGCTATAGTTATTTTTTTCATCCTTTAATCTTTGCTGTAACTAAGTGTTTAACAACCTGTTTTTAATGGTTTGTGTTTTGTTTTAATTTGGCTGTGCCGAGTCTTCATTGCCACATGAAGGATCTTTGTTGCCGCATACTGGATATTTAGTTGTGGCATGTGGGATCTAGTTTCTTGACCGGGGATTAAACTGGGGCCCCCTGCATTCAGAGTGCAGAGTCTTAACCACTGGACCACCAAGAAATTCCCAGCAACCTATTCTGATATATAGTTACCACTTTCTGATTCTATTTATTTATTAGCTTAAAATTTTTTGTACTTTTGCTTTTTCATTTCAAGTAGAAGAATTTTTTTCAGCATTTCTTGTAAGGAAAGTCTAGTGATGATAAACTCCCTCAACTCTGTTTGTCTGGGAATGCCTTTATTTCTCCCTGTATCTGAATGAAGCTTATGCTTATAGAGTGTTCTTGGCTGACAGTTTTTATCTTTCAATATTTTGAGTTTGTCATTCTACCCTGTCCTGGCCAATAGAGTTTCTGCTGAGAAATCTGCTGATCATCTAGTGGGGGTACCTTAGTAGGTTGCCGTCTTTTTTCCCCCTGGCTGCCTTTAAAGTTGTTTCTTTGTCATTGACTTTTGACACTTTTAATGTGTCTTGGGGAAGGTCTTTTTGGGTGTTCTATTTGCTACATGGGCTTGTATATCTAGCCCCTTTCCCAGATTTGAGACATTCTCAGCTACTACTTTGAAGGGGGCGACAGAAGATGAGATGGTTGGATGGCATCACCACCTCGATGGACACAAGTTTGAGCAAGCTCTGGGAGTTGGTGATGGACAGGGAAGGCTGGCGTGCTGCAGTCCATGGGGTCACAGTCAGACATGACTAAGTGACTGAGCTGAACAGCTCTTACTTCCTTAAATAAGCTCTGTTTCCTTCTCCTTCTCTTTTCCCTCTGGTATACCCATTGTCCTTATTTCACCTTTCTAATGGAGTTGAATAGTTCTTGTAGTTTCTTCATTAAAAAAAAAAAAAGACTTAGTTCTTGCTCCTCTTTCACCTGAATCATTTCTCAGTTTCTGTCTTTAAGCTCACTAATTCTCTCTTCCATATGGTCTACTCTATTTCCAGTGTTTTTTAATGCCATTCTTCATATCATTTATTGAGCTCTTCAGCTTCATAAGTTCTGTTTGGTTCTTTTTTAAGAGTTTCTTTCAGTCTCTTGGATAAAATATTCCTTCTTTTCATTAATTTTTTTCCTTAATTCATTGAACTGCTTTTCTGTTTTCTTGTAGCATGTTGAGTTTCTTCCTGATAGCTATTTTGAATTCTCTGTGAGACCACAGTCTTCTGTGATTTTAAGTTTGGTTTCTGGAGAATTGTCATTTTCTTTTTCTGATGCTGTATTGCTATGACTTTTCATGGTGCTTGATGAGTTGTTCCTTGGCTGGCATGCTTGAGGTAGTGAATACCTTTCTCATTTAGGTAAAGCTTTATTTACTTTGATTCTAACAGTTCAACAGGTTGGTAATTAGAATACTTTTTTTTTTGTTTTTCAGTAGATGGCACTGCAGCACAATTTATAGCTTCGTTTCTCTTACCTGAGATGCCTCTGGGTATATTTAATTGGCACTTTCTACTCTCTATCACCTCTGCCAGAGGTGTCACCAGTGCCCTCATCATCTTTGCTTCTTTCCTATGGGGTTACTGTTGCCCTGATTCTGCAAGAGTTGCTGTCGTTACTGGCATCACCACCAGGGACACCAGGATGACAGGCCTCTCTGCCACAACTGGGGTTGCCTGGGTTGTGGACTCTGCTGTAGCGGTGAGGGCAGGGGAGAGCCAGATTTGTGGGTGCTGTAGGATGGAACAGAGTCACAGGCGCTGCAATGGCCCTTCCAGTCTTTCTTAAGGCTGCTCTGTCCTGTATTTTGTCCTCATTGTTACCAGAACTGCTCTTGGTGAGGTCACTAATGCTCTCCTCTTAGTTAAATTTAGTGGTAAATTCTCAGGCATTCTTATATCATCCATCAGTCACATTTGGCACAGTTGATCACTCTGTTCTTCTTAATACACTGACTTCACTTCCAAGATACCACACACTTTTTTTTTATTTTTTACTTTTTTATTTTGTATTGGAGTAAAGCCGATTAACAGTGTGATAATTTCAGGTGGACAGCAGAGGGATTAAGCCATACATATACATGTATCCATTCTCCCCTAAACTCCCCTCCCATCCAGGCTGCCACATAACATTAAGAAGAGTTCCCTGTGTTATACAGTAGATCCATGTTGACACCACACTCTTTTGGTTTTACTTCTTCCTCCCTGTTACTCTTTTCTGGTTTCGTCTCTTCATCTGGGAAGGTTTGTTGTACATTATTGTGACAATAGCTCGCAAATGCTCCCCTGCAGTCTATCTTCAGCATAGCAACTAGAGTGACTATTTTCACACCATACCTCTGCTTACCTCTGCAGTGGCTTCACATATCTCTCAGAGTAAAAGATGGTGTTTTTATAGCACTTAACAATGATGTTCAGGGCCCTGCATGATCTGCCCTCTTTGCCCTGTTCTCTCTCTGACCTTGTCTCCTTCTGTTCTTCCCCTTCCTCCATTCCTCCTACACGTGCTTCCTTATTAGACCTTGAACACGCCAGGTAGGCTGCCTTTGCAACAGCAGTTTCTTTTATCTGGGACACTCTCCCATCAGAGGCATGGCGTGGTTAATCTCTTACCTCCCTTAGGTCTTTGCTGAAATACCACCTTCTCAATGAAGCTTACTCTTGTCACTCCACTTAAATGGCCCTTATCTGTATCCCTGGCATTCTGAATTCCCTATACAACCTAATCCACTTCTTTTTTCATAGCATTTATGACTGTCTTTTTTTTTTAATATTTATTTATTTGACCACACCAGGTCTTAGTTGCAGCACGTGGGGTCTTCAGTCTTCATGTCTGCATACAGGATATTTTGGTTGCAGCACATGGGATCTAGTTCCCTGATCAGGGCTCGAACCTGGGCCACTGCATTATAAGCACAGTCTTAGCCACTGGACCACTAGGAAAGTCCTTCTTTATGACTTTCTAACACACAGTTTCTTTTTAAAATATGTTTAGGTTTATGGGCTTCCCTCATAGCTTAGTTGGTAAAGGACTAAGTTGGTCTCCTGCAATGCAGGAGTTGGGTTGGGAAGATCCCCTGGAGAAAGGATAGGCTACCCACGCCAGTATTCTTGGGCTTCCCTTGTGCTCAGCTGGTTAAGAATCCTCCTGCAATGTGGGAGACCTGGGTTCAGTCCCTGGGTTGGGAAGATTCCCTAGAGAAGGGAAAGGCTAACCACTCCAGTATTCTGGTCTGGAGAATTCCATGGACTGTATAGCCCATGGGGTCGCAAGAGTTGGACACAAATGAGAGACTTTCCCTTAGGTTTATTACCTGCTGCCACTAGATTGTAAGCTCTTTAAAGGCAGGAATTTTTATCTCTTCTGCTTATTTATGTATCCCAGTAGCATGAAATAGTCCCTGGCACTCAGTAGCCACCCAAAAAAGCATTAATTGAATGGATGAATGAGCTGACTAACAAACAGTAATAATTAACAGTATTTTCTAAAATGTTTTCATGTTGGAAATATATGAATGTGACATTCAGGTTCTGATTCTGTGCAGGAATGGCTATTCATACAAGGTGGCAGTTGCACTGTCCCTTTTCCTTGGATGGTTGGGAGCAGATCGATTTTACCTTGGATACCCTGCCTTGGGTGAGTACTTTATTTAAAAAAAAATTCTTGTGAAACTTGTAGGTAAATGTACCTATTCTTATAGATTAAATCTCTGCATGCTATTAATAGTTACAGGTTCCATGTAGCTGGAGTTGAATAGTCAATGTTTTTCTCTGATTACAGAGCTAGCAGTTAGCTCTGTAGTGAACTTGGGTAAAAGATACTGACTTGACTTGTTTTTTTTTCATCTTTATGAAAGCACACACTCAAGACAGTGTAGCCGTTAGGATAGTAGACTGGAGTTGTCATTGCTAGTGCTATGTACACATTGGGTATTCAATAAATGTTTTAGGAATAAATGTGTATCTTTTCCTATCCCTCCAAAAATATTTGCCTTCTACCTGGATCTCTATCAGTGTTACTTTGGAAATAGAAACTACTTCTTTCAGGAGAAGTTGGGGTTGGAACTGCAGCAACCAGTATGAGCTGGTGTGGAGTCTGATTATTACCCCTAGCATCCCTCCCCACACCTTCCTCCTGGTTGTAATTTATACATTTACCATAGTTATTAATGCTTCTGAAAGTGAGTCACATTTGATGATAGCTTTGGTTTAAATAATACTTTCACATGTCTCCCCTTATTTGAGCCTTAAAACTATCTGAGATTATCATCCTGTTTAAATCTGCTTTAACAGGTAGGGAAATTGTCACCAGAGAGATTAAAGGATTTGCTACCTCTGGAGGCCTTGCTTTATATACTCTGATATATTTGTTATCATCATTGTTTTATGGATAGGGAACTTGTCATGAGATTAAGAGATTTACCCAAGGACACTCGTCTAGTGACCTGAATTTGAACCCAAATACTCTGGCTCAAGAGATCATGCTTTATTTACTGTAGTACTTTGCTTCTATATTAGCCCTTCAGTGAGCAGTTTTAAAGTTTCTGAGTGCTCTGCTTTCTAGCTACCAAAGCTAATCTTATTCTTTCCATCTTGCTACCCACCAGAGATCAAAGAGGAATCTTCACTGTGAGGTTCAGTTCAATTCATTCTCTCAGTCGTGTTGACGCTTTGCCACTCCATGGACTGCAGCACACCAGGCTTCCCTGTCCATCACCAACTCCCAGAGCTGGCTCAAACTCATGTCCAGTGAGTCAGTGATGCCATCCAACCATCTCATCCTCTGTTGTCCCCTTCTCCTCCTCCTGCTGTCAATCTTTCCCAGCATCAGTATCTTTTCTAATGAGTCAGTTTTTTGCATCAGGTGACCAAACTATTAGAGCTTCAGCTTCAACATCAGTCCTTCCAATGAATATTTAGGACTGATTTCTTTTAGGATTGACCGGTTTGATCTCATTGCAGTCTAAGGGACTCTCAAGAGTCTTATCCAATACCACAGTTCAAAAACATCAATGCTTTGGTGCTTAGCTTTCTGTAGGTCCAACTCTCACATCCATACATGACTACTGGAAAAACCATAGCTTTGACTAGATGGACCTTGGTTGGTAAAGTAATGTCTCTGCTTTTTAATATGCTGTCTAGGTTGGTCATAGCTTTTCTTCCAAGAAGCAAGCGTCTTTTAATTTCATGGCTGCAGTCACCATCTGCAGTGATTTTGGAGCCCAAGAAAATAAAGTCTCTCACTGTTTCCATTGTTTCCCCATCTATTTGCCATGAAGTGCTGGGACCAGGTGCCATGATCTTAGCTTTTTGAATATTGAGTTTTAAGCCAACATTTTCACTCTCCTCTTTCACTTTCTGGAGGCTCTTTAGTTCTTCGCTTTTTGTCATAACGGTGTTGTCATCTGCATATATGAAGTTATTGATATTTCTTCCTGCAATTTTGATTCCAGCTTTTGCTTCATCCAGCCAGGCATTTCTCATGATGTACTCTGCATATAAGTTAAATAAGCAGGGTGACAATATACAGCCTTGACGTACTCCTTTTCTCATTTGGAACCAGTCTGTTGTTCCATGTCCAGTTCTAACTGTTGCTTCCTGACCTGCATACAGATTTCTCAAGAGGCAAGTCAGGTGGTCTGGTATTCCCATCTCTTGAAGAATTTTTCAGAGTTTGTTGTGATCCACACAGTCAAAGGCTTTGGCATAGTCAATGAAGCAGAAGTAGATATTTTTCTAGAACTCTCTTTTCTTCATTATATAAATTTTATATTAGGATTAAATAAGGGAAATATGTTGAGGGTGAGATTAAATTTAATAAGATCCAAACATTCCTTTAAGAAAAATTTTTCTTTATAGATATTTTATGTATATAGCATTATTTCCTCTAATTGATTTATTCTCATACATGTGCTGCTTTAGCTGAACCCTTTTTTCACCAGGAAGCCTTATTTTTCTAATATTCTGTCTTTGTGTTTTTAACTGTGTTAACGTCTGTGATTTTTCTTTACCTGGCAATAATTGGTATACTTTGTTTTGGCCATCTGTAGCATTAAAAGATTATGGATTCTCAAAGGTAATAGCTCTTTTGGAGCAGTTAATGGGTGGAGAGATACTCCTTTCATGGTGATATTACTTTTAAGTGTAAATATTTTCTTATGAGAATAACAAAGTGTTGTGTATTTTTAAGCCCCAAACTTCAAAATCTTTGGTTATTTTATTCCTTTTTTCTTTTTAAGTTTGGAGTTACCAGTTTGGACTGGCATATTATATCCACAGATCATGGGACAAATAAAATACAGGGATTTGTAGGTTAAACTCTTCTAAGATTTGAAAGCTCTCCTTTATTGGTATAGGAACAAAAAGAATAGAGATACCTAATTACCAAATCATTACAGAACACTCGTGCTTTGGCACAAGCAGCTTCAGTATGAAATAATCTACATTCTCTAAAATGGTTACACAGAAGAGTATTTGCAAGACTCAACCTGTAATAAAGCAAAATATACCCCCATTTTTTTTAAATACCAAAAATTAATCTCTGTGCTTTTTATTTTATACCCAAATAAATCCTTTTATTGAATTTGTATACTTTAAATGTAAAATTTAAGTTACTAAAGTATAAATAAAGTACACTGAAAACATGAGCTTTTTGAATATCATCTGGCAGCATAATCTTTTTGGAAGAATATATCTACGACAGTAATGACTGAGGATAAAAATGGATCCTTCTTGATTAGAAACATTTTTATTTGGAATTTCAAAACTTTAAAATCTAAATACATCATTTCTTTCCTTGATAAGCAAATAGGATCTGTACAAAGAGGCCTAACAACTTTTTTACTTGGATAAAAAAGTCAATCTACTTTTGGTTGTTCACAAATCCCTCCCTCCCTCTTTTAAAAAATTAGTGTTGGTGCTCAAAATAATGAAATACACACAAGTAATGGTTTGCATTGGTTTTGATATAAAAAAGATTGCCCTCTGTATACTGGTGCCAAATTGAATCTTGCAGACAGTTTTGGATGAAGTAGAAAAGAATAGCTTTATTGCTTTGCCAGACAAGAAGGGACACTACAGACTCCTGCCCTCAAGAACTGTGTGTCCCAACCCAGAAGGATTTGATGAGGAGTTCATGGACCGAGGAGCCTGGTAGGCTACAGTCCATGGGGTCGCAAAGAGTTGGACACGACTGAGCGACTTCATTTTATAGCACTAGTTTCAAGGGTGCAGTTGCTGACAAGTTAGCCTGTGTGCAGCACCTGCACATCTCTCGTCCAGTCCCAGTTAATCTTGAAGAAAAGTGAAAAAAGTGAAAGTCACTCAGTCATGTAGACTCTCTGTGACCCTATGGACTATACAATCCATGGAATTCTGGCCAGAATACTGGAGTGGGTACCCTTTCCCTTCTCCAGTTGATCTTCCCAACCCAGGTCTCCTGATTGTGGGCAGATTCTTTACACCAGCTGAGCTACAAGGGAAGCCCAAGAATACTGGAGTGGATAGCCTACCCTCTCTCCAAGGGATCTTCCCAACCCAGGAATCAAACTGGGGTCTCCTGCATTGCAGGCAAACTCTTTTTCAACTGCACTATCAGGGAAGCCCTAATCTTGATGAGCCTCTCTGATTCCTGGCCTCTGTTGGCTTGTTGGCTGTTCCTCCCCTGTTTAGCAACTATTCACATCTGCCCTTGGAATTCAGGAAAGGTCATGGAGGCTGGATTCTCTTCCCTTCAAAAAAGAAAACAGGGGACAGAAAGGTCAGGAGCACCCACAGGGTCCTGGTCATTTTCAGTTTTAATAAATGCTGTTTAAAGTGTATGCTACTTTGTGTTTTTCAAGTTGATCAGAGATTGTTTCTAGTTTTTTGATAGTCATATAACAAATATTCATCAAACTCTGCCCCACAGTTCAAGGAATTGACTTGAATAAGACAGATGAGAACCCTGTCTTCAGGAGTTTACATGGCATAGGAAGACAGAGAATTAATGAACAAACCAAGAAATAATTTCTGATCAACACCATGGTGGAAATAAATAGGAGACGTGCGATAGAGTGCTGGGGCTGTTAGGGGGAATGGCATGCTCCAAGAATTCTCTGAAGTACCCTGAGATGAGAAGAGCTGTAGGAAGAACACCATTGAAAGAGGGCATCAGGAGGGCAAAGGCACTGGCACAGTTCCATTGTCTTCATAGAGTAGCAGTTTATTGAAGACAACGTTTTTCAAACCATTCTTTTTTTTTTTTTTTGGCTGTGCTGGGTCTTTGTTGTTGCACACGGGCTTTCTCTAGTTGTGGTGAGTGGGGGCTGCTCTCTAGATGTGGCTTGCAGGCTCAGTTTTGTAGTGCTAGGGCTTAGTTGCCCAATGGCCTGTGGAATATTTCTGGACCAGGGATCAAACACATGACCCCTACATTGGCAGGCAAATTCTTAAGCACTGGACCACCAGAATGCGAAGTCATGTGGGCCTTAGGAAGCAAAATGGTCATCTGAGGAAGCCTTAGAAATAGCTGTGAAAAGAAGAGGAGCAAAAGGCAAAGGAGAAAAGGAAAGATATATCCATCTAAATGTGGAGTTCCAAAGATTAGCACGGAGAGATAAGAAAGTCTCCCTAAGTGATCAATCCAAAGAAATAGAGAAAAGCAATAAAATGGAAAAGACTACAGATCTCTTCAAGAAAATTATAGATACCAAGGGAACATTTCATGTAAAGATGGGTGCAATAAAGGACAGAAACAGTATGGACCTAAGAGAAGCAGAAGATATTAAGAAGAGGTGGCCAGAATACACAGAAGAATTATCCAAAAAAGATCTTAATGACCCACATGATAGTGTAATCACTCACCTAGAGCCAGACATCCTGGAATGTGAAGTCAAGTGGGCCTTAGGAAGCATCACTGTGAACAAAGCTAGTAGAGGTGATGGAATTCCAGTTGAGCTATTTCAAATCCTAAAAGATGATGCTGTTAAAGTGCTGCACTCAGTTTGCCAGCAAATTCAGAAGACAGCAGAGGCCACAGGACTGGAAAAGGTTAGTTTTCATTCCAATCTCAAAGAAAGGCAATGCTGAAGAATGTTCAAACTACTGCACAATTGCCCTCATCTCACATGCTAGCAAAGTATTGCTCAAAATTCTCCAATCCAGGCTTTAAGAGTATATGAACCATGAACTTCCAGATGTTGAAGCTGAATTTAGAAAAGGTAGAGGAACCAGAGATAAAATTGCCAACATCCGTTGGATCATCAAAAAAGCAAGCGAGTTCTAGAAAAACATCTACTTCTGCTTTATTGACTACGCCAAAGTCTTTGACTGTGTGGGTCACAACAAACTGAAAAATTCTTCAAGAGATGGGAATACCTGCCTCTTGAGAAATCTATATGCAGGTCAAGAAGCAACAGTTAGAACTGGACATGGAACAACAGACTGGTTCCAAATTGGGAAAGGATTAGGTGAAGGCTGTATACTGTCACCCTGCTTATTTAACTTACATGCAGAGTACATCATGCAAATTGCTGGGCTGGATGAAGTACAAGCTGGAATCAATATTTCTGGGAGAAGTAGCAAAAACCTCAGATATGCAGATGACACCACCCTTATGGCCAAAAGCAAAGAAGAACTAAAGAGCCTGTTGATGAAAGTGTAAGAGGAAAGTGAAAAAGTTAGCTTAAAACTCAGCATTCAGAAAACTATGATCATGACATCTGGTCCCATCATTTCATGGCAAATAGATGGGGAAACAATGGAAACAGAGACTTTATTTTCTTGGGCTCCAAAATCATTAATTTCATGACTGCAGCCACGAAATTAAAAGACGCTTACTCCTTGGAAGAAAAGCTATGACCAACCTAGACAGCGTATTAAAAAGCAGAGACATTACTTTACCAACAAAGGTCCGTCTAGTCAAAGCTATGGTTTTTCCAGTAGTCATGTATGGATGTGAGAATGGGACTATAAAGAAAGCTAAGCACCAAAGAATTGATGTTTTTGAACTGGGGTGTTGGAGAAGACTCTTGAGAGTCCCTTGGACTGCAAGGAGATCCAACCAGTCCATCCTAAAGTTCTCCCTAGATAATATACATGTTTCAATGCTGTTCTCTTGAAACATCCCACCCTCGCCTTCTCCCAGAGTCCACAAGTCTGTTCTATACATCTGAGTCCATGATCCATTCTTAATGTTCTTTTTATAAACAAACTGAAGGAAGGGAAACTGTGATATTTCCAAAATACTCTGTGAAGAGGAATGCAATTAGAAATAAATGAGTGAATGGATATAATACATACACTGAATGAATGGATAAATTTCCTTGGGCAGCTATACTAAAGTGCAATTAATGGAAAAAATAATTGAGGAGTTGTTGTATAAGATGGTGAATAAAAAGTTCGGGGTCTTTCGGAAACAGAAAGACTGAGAGGATTTATTGATTTTAACAGATACTTAGCATCTCCCATGTGCCAGGCAATGTTGTAGGTACTAAGGACACAGAAGTAAACGAGACAGATAAAAGACCCTTCTCTAAGTGGACTTTCATGAGACAGATGGTAAACAAATGTAAAATATGAGGTAGGTGATAAGTTTTTTGAAGAGAACCAAAAGCATTATTTTATGTAGTGTCTATATTTTAATATTTTAGAAATTATTTCCAGCATGTGTTATCTTAGTACTTAGAACATTGTTCTACTGTATATCTAATACTAATGGGGGAAATGGGGAATCATCTAATTTACCTACATATTTCAGTCTTACTTGTATATTTCCAAATGTGTGCCAGGAGGTGATCTCATCCATTCTTACAATTTTAGCTGGAATCTATTTGTAGTTGATGCTTAGAACTACCCTTTCACGAAGAGTCTTGCTTCATGTCATCTTTATATCTCAAATGGGATGTCTGGAGAGCAGCTCAGGTTTAAATATAGAAGAGAGATTACTCATCCCACCCTCCACCCTCAATCTGCCTCTTCTGGTTTCATCATCATGTTTTTATGTTGTATTATTATATGTCCTAGATTCTGTGCTCTGTTATCTGTTTTAGTACCATAGCTCTAAGGTTGGAGCCAAGGACAGAGGTAAAAAAAAAAAAAAAATTGGTGATTTTGACTATAGACCTAATAAGAAACATAAGATTGCTTAGAAAAAATGTATAGGATAAATTGAAGATAATTGGGTTACTAATCAGTGTTTTTTTTCCAGATTACTTTTTTGTGCCTTGACAGTATTTAACTTTCTACTATAAATATATATTAAAATTTGTATCTACAGTGTATTAAGTGTACATAAATAAGGGTTTAGGACTAAAAGATGTTCTGTAACTCTGTGTGCTAAGATTTAAAGATTTATTTTCTTAGGCCTTTTCTCTTAAGTTTTGTAAGATTACATTGAGTTTTTACTTCAGATCATATTGTTTAAGTGAATGAATCATTTTTTGTAGTTTTTCTATGTAGAGGGTCTTTTAAACTTTTCTCATATTTTTAGGTGAAGATTTGATTTTTTTTAAGTGTTAACTTTATACTCTTGATACAAAGCATTTGTTGTATATGTAATAATTTATTGGGAAATGGAAAAGTTTATTAATATTTATAAGGCTTTCCAGGTTGTAAATGACTTTACCTTCTTTTCTAGGTTTGTTAAAGTTTTGCACTGTGGGGTTTTGTGGAATTGGGAGCCTAATTGATTTCATTCTTATTTCAATGCAGGTGAGTTAGTTTCAGTCTAGAAGATGAACTACTTTTACATTCAAATTTGAGTTCTGAGGTACATTTTAAGTATGTTATAAAACAGGTAGGAATGCTTTCTCATTTTTCTTCAGATGCTAGATCTAAAGGATCCATGGCCATGTTTTCAAGTAGCATTTTCCAACCTGTGTTCAATTAGTAGTTCTAAAAGACATAAGAACTTCTTTAAAAAGGATCTGTGCTCAAATATGATTTGTAAATGTGAATGCAACTGAGATACAGAGATTTCTTTACTGGATAACTTCTCAGAAGCTTAAAAATTTGCAGTATGAACCTCTAAGGAGGGATTAAGGTTATAAATATTTCCAACTTATTGTCTCTTTTCCTGTTACAGCTGCATTGTCACTCACTATAAGAGGCTACTGGTGGGAGTCTTGTATTTACATATGAATTTGTAGAGGCAGAAACAAAAGTTTTTTGCACTGGACAGATTCTCTATACTAGTATTCTCTTGGCTGCAAATTGTACAAACTGAAATCCAGCTAGCTGCAGCCAAAAAAGAAAACAGGAATGTCTGGGAGTGCTCTGGAAAATCCAGGAGTGGGGCTGGTCTTGGACAAGACCAAATCCATAGTCAAATGATGTACTCACCACTCTCCTCCTCTTCATCTCTGCTTCTCTGTGTTAGCCTCGTTTTCTCCTGCTGCAGAGGTTTGTGAAATGCTAACCTTAAGCATTCAAAAGTTCACCAGATATTTCCTATTCCTATTTCCACCAGATATTTCCCACCAGATAGTTCCTACTGAACTGGTTGTGGTTAACTCAGGGGGATTCTTAAATTAGAGAAGAGATGAATTTATCACAACAAATGTCACAAAACAGCATTTCAGTAATCATTTATGGAGCACCTCATGTCTTCAGCAAGTGTGTCAGTGTGTATTTAGATTATCATCAGTTTTGCTCTTCTTTTTCATACAGTATTTCCATTCCTTAATTCTGTCTGCTTGATGTTATCCTTATGCTCTAAAAGAAAGTCAAAATCTAGGAGATTTTTGGTAACATACTGTGAGGAGGGGACCATACTGTGAGGAGGAGGCAACATATGGACCAATAAGATACCAGAATTAAACAAGGAAAATATTTGGTTTTAAAGTTGGAATTTTCCTGTCTTTATTCATAAACATATGCCTAACCAAATATCCTTCCTTCTCTGACTGTGGGACAGGCAAGCAGGCATGAAGAGGCTAAGGTTCTTCTGCACATATGCTTGGAAATGGGTTTCTCACTTAAATGAGGATCCAAGGAATTTAATGTACTATTGGGATTCTTTAAGGTATACAGAATTCAGTATCTTTAAAACCCAACCACTTAGTTAATATTTCACACTGGGTTCTTTCTTTGGTGATATCAGTGCTTTGTAGCTTTATTTATGTCAAATTGTAGAGTTATTTGTTGATTCAGCCACTATTTTCTGATACACGCATAAATGAACTTTTCAGAACTAATAGTTCTTTTCTTAAATATCTAGAATTGAGACTATCACATCAACAAATTATTGAGGTAGATTTAGAATGTTTGAATTTCTACACTAGGTTTCCCTAAATAAGACATTTTAATAGGGATGACCACTGTAGACTGCTTTCAGACCTGGGGAAAAATTACTTTTTTCAAAAGTAGCCAAGTAAGATATATAGCCTTATTCTACCTGTTGTTTAATATATTTGACATGTTATGTTGAATGTATTCGTTTTAGAGAATTATTTTTTCAGTCAATCAAGTAAGTTTTTACTATAAATATCATAAATTATGTTAATATTTTTGTCTTGGATATACTTTTTCAATTTCTCATAAACCTTTTACATTCTATCATCTTTGTTTATTCTTCTTTTCTTCTTTATTTTCTCCATCCCTAATTCTTTTCTTTTTACCATTAAATATTACTCCCCAATGAATTGCAGTGTTTTTTCTTTTGGGCTGTGATCCCAGAACTATATTGTGCATGAACTCAAGACCTATAAAAACATACTTTACTTCACAGTGTTTATAAGAAAAATCCAGGAAAATCCTCCTTAAAAAAATAGGTCTGGTTATTTCATCTTTGAACTAAAACAATGTAAAGTATAATGCATATATTACTAAGGTAAGTAAGCTTTAAATATATCTATACTTACTAAAAATGCTTTCATGAGTTTATCTGTTAGTAAACTTTTAAATTTTTTCTTTTTTTGTTCTTAAAAAATATGCAAATAGCACTGTGTGAATGAATGGTATAAAACAATACATAGAATTAATTCATTTGTTTTGTGCATTCAACAGAGTTTAAATCAGTGGTACATGTATAGTATACAGTTTTTCAATTATAGGCAACTTTGTGTATAACTGCTGTGTATATAGTTATTCATAAGGCAGGTCTAAAAACTTTAAAACACTCATTTTATGCTTATATGTATTCATACATATCATGAAGGATAAATTAGCTAATTTGCTTTTTTATCAGAAAAAATATGAGAATATTTGATTTTATTTAAACCTCTTTTCTCACTCACACAATGAATGTTTTTAATTATATCAAACCACTGATGTGTACTTCACCAACAGAAAGAAAAGAAAATTTATTCTCTCAAGTAGAGACAAGACAGCCACAAATCAGAAAGATGAGGATGGATAGAGGGAAAATGGAAATATATGTTGGAATGTAGAAAGTTTTTTAAAATGAAGTATGTCAAGATTCTTTGTGATAATTTTTAAAAATTCATTTTCATTCCTATCAACAATTCCTATCAAGTAGATTTCCTTAAAAGACTATTAACTATGTAAGTAGCAAAATATACAAAGCAATATAATCTCCAAGACAGTTTTAATTTTATAAATAAATTTATTAAATATCTCATTAGTTTGGCATTTAATATATGTAAGTTGGGGAGCTTCCCAGGTGGTGCAGTGGTAAAGAATCCACCTGCCAGTGCAGAAGATGCAAGAAGCGTGAGTTTGATCCCTGGGTCGGGAAGATCTCTTGGAGTAGGAAATGGTAGCCCCCCCAGTGTTCTTGCCTGGAAAATTCCATGGAGAGAGGAGTCTGATAGGCTACTGTCCATGGGGTTGCAAAGAGTCAGACACGACTGAGCCACTGAATACACACACATATATAACTCATTTTAGCACTGGGTTATATATTGTTTTTGTATTATTTCTTTTTAGCTTTTACACACCAGGTTTGATTTTTCACACATAAATTTCTTGAGGAGAAAGATTTTTATTAATCTCCTGTAGTACTAATAGTATGCTCAACATATTCTCTCAAAATTTTTGCTGATTTGAGCTGAACGCAGTGTAACTTGTGAAAAGTGTGTCTTTGTGCCAATTATAGGGAAGATAGGTTAAAAATGGTAGTTTTTTAAAAGTGAGTGCTTTTCTTTAGGTCTTTAAAGTTCTAAATTTCATAGGGCACATGAGCTAATGAACAAAAATAAAAGTTGGTATGATAAAGTATAAATAGTAGGTTTTATACCATAAGTGAAAATACTTAGCACCATTTAGGTATAAGTTGGGGTCCTTGCCTGAAAGGAACTTAAAATCTTACTCTCTCAGAAGTGTTGTGAGAATAACATCCCACTTATTATCAGAAATATCTCATTGGAGAAATTCTCTGGCAGTCTGGTGGTTAGGACTTCATGCTCTCACTGCCAAGGACCTGTTTCAGCCCATGATCGGGGAGCTAAAATCCCATAAGCCATAAGCCATGCTGGGCAGCCATCTCCTTGGGAACTGCAGGCTGAAAATAAAAGAAGAGTATCTTGATTTTATCTCGTCTAAATTCTTGAATTTTACTGAAATTTTAAGAGCCTAGGCTTTTCAGTTCAGAGCATAAATAAGATTCAGGTTATAGGTTCACTTCTGTGTAAGCCAGTTGATTTTGTCAAAGATTTAACCTGTGCCCTTGCACCATGAAGTACATGGTCTTGATCAAAAGAAGGACTAAATGTGTAATCACTCTGAATCTGTTTCCAGTACCGGAAATGTTGGTCAAGTCCTTGATAGTTCACTAGCTGTAGGACAGCAATATATAAAAACTGTTGCTGCTGCTTCTGCTAAGTTCTTCAGTCATGTCTTGACTCTGTGCGACCCCATAGACGGCAGCCCACCAGGCTCCCCCGTCCCTGGGATTCTCCAGGCAAGAACACTGGGGTGGGTTGCCATTTCCTTCTCCAATGCATGAAAGTGAAAAGTGAAAGTGAAGTCGCTCAGTCGTGTCCGACTCTTAGCGACCCCATGAACTGTAGCCTACCAGGCTCCTCCGTCCGTGGGATTTTCCAGGCAAGAGTACTGGAGTGGGATGCCATTGCCTTCTCCAATATAAAAACTAGATACCAAGTGTTCCAACAAGTTTTCTCTTATTTATTTAACTCTGGAGTGATATATTGGGGAAATGACCTGGAAAACTGAGGAGACTGATGATAATTTGGGCAATCTCTGCTTTGTCACATGATCTTAATTAGGTAGATTTCATTTAGTTCACTTACCTGTGGGCAGATTTTTATTTAGTGAATTAAAGGAATGTTCAAAAAACAAAGTAGTCCCAAGACTGAACCCAATGCTGTGTTTTCCTAAGGAGATAGAATGCTGAATCTTATTCATTTCTTGAGGAATGATGTTTATAATGGTCATTTAGGATTAATACTAACCAATGTTTAAGTCAAATGAAGTCAGGGGATCTGACTGTATAATATCTGGCACTATGTGGGAATTTTAAGTGCTTAATTAAAATGTGACTAATTAGGTTTTTTAATGGTCTCATATTAATGACATACAGAAGTCAGCTCTGAACACAAACATGTAATTTAACTTTTAAGAGAATGTGAATTTACTTCTTTGGAGAATTGGGATGGACACAGGTTGCATCATTATCCTCTAATTGCAGACAACTGTGTCATTTTACTTTTTCACCAGGTTAATAGATCTTCAGGAGATGATATGATCTTGCCAGTATTAATATTTACATTTTTTATATGGACGAAACTCTT